GGAGGGTCATAAGAGAGGATGAGGAAGTAAGTCTTTAAGGCTAAATGTTCAAGAACTATTTGCAATTAGCTGAAATCTGTCAAGCAAAAATAGCATTTTTCATATACCTGTTGTCACTGAAAACACTTGCTGAATTAGTTTAGAAATTGTATTTCTGATTTAATCTCTTTGGTTCATGTCATCATAGATTCAAGATATTAGAAAATGTGTACATATTTTATAAGTCATTTTGCTGCAGGAATAATGTGACTTGACACAGTGGCTTTGAAAACTGTATTGCAATTTCCAGGTCTGTATGCATCCAGAGGCATCCAGGAATTTCTGACAGATTTTAAATCTATACTTTGCAAACAACTGGAAACTTAACACAGTCCTAGAATAAAATGAGCCATTACTTTTTCCCCAGTGATGATCATTTTGACCATCAGAAATCACATTTAAGTTGCAAGAAGAAATGCAAGGTGATACCTTGTCAAAATACTTCATATGTAAGTTGACAGCATTAGAAGAGACAAGAAGAGCACTCTTTGTAAAATAAAATATTCTAATCCAAGATATTAACAGAGTGTTTCTCCAGAAAGTGAATCTCCATTTGAGTCATCCATGACTCACTCTTCCGCCTGTATTTTAACATTTGATACCTTCGTTCATCTGTTCATTCACCCAGGAGATATGGATACTTGTGCTGAACAATAACAATGCAATATGTCAGGCAACACAGTAAATAAGCACAGATGTCATGGATTCTGGACTAGACTTGGGCAAAGCCCAGCCTTACACATTGAAGAGCCAGTTGGGAAAGGTGGCAGAGAGATATTTTTTTCTTTATTTAGTCCTCCCTCCAATACTTTCCCACAAATGTTGGGTCACTTACCCTTTAAAATTACAACCTAACCTTCATCAAAATTCCCACAGGCTGCCATTTGATTCAAAAATACAGGTGAAACAAAAAGCATAAAAAGAGTCAAGTTTCCAAAATGTAGGATGATCATCCTTAAGATAATTATATATGAGTCTAAAGAAGCCGTGCATCTTTATCTGAACCCAGCATGATTTTCTGCCTCATGTATCCATAACTTCTTGGACAGAGGAATATTTATTTCTACTAGATGGAAGCAGGCTTTCAGGTAAATTTCCATTTCTAAGAAAAAATGGGAAATATCTTACCTCACATAAATGTGAGAATCTCTTACCTTTATTTCAAATAATGGCAAATGAGTAAACTTTCCACATCTAACTATGGTGAGGTATACAACAAAATAAAACATCTCATAATCCCTCACAAAAGGTAACAGTTTTGTAGACATTGCAAGGTATATCATCTTAACTCTGGAGTGCATGCACACATCCACACACAGATACAATAAGAGGGGGCATTAATACTCAAAGAATACTTTTATCCTTCAGCAATTATCGCGTACAGAAATATTTCTTCAGCCACAAACTCAAATCACCACAATAGTAACCTGATGTGATTATTAAAACTGTTTCTTAAAAGTCAACGAATTACTTCATCCAATGGACAGAGGTCTGTATGAGTTTGATTCTAGAAAATATGGATCTTGCTCTTTCTTTTACTCTTCCTTTCCTGTCTCTTTCCTTTGTGTTCCTTTTCATTTAAAAGTGTATTGCGTTATTTCCTTTTCTTTCTTTTCCTTTTCAGTCTCTTCCCATCCTTCCCTTTGTGGTGACAGGAAAAAGCAAGAGCTATGGAGTCTTAGCTGAGGAGGAGATGGTTGGTTGGGGTTGGTGGAACCTGGGTAAAGGGTGTACCTACATATCAAGTACCCATAGAACGTGGTAAAGTAAGTTAGGACCAATGCCAATAGGGCCTTCAGGAATAGGTCCAGGACCAAGATAGCTACTGAAACCAACAGTGTGCAGGCTGGGAAAGTGACTGGAAGAATTGAAATATATTAGTTTTACCTATCAAATGAACAATCAAAATGCTCTGTTGACAATAATGGGAGCCAAGTTTCACACTTTTAGGGGAAAGCATTACGTATACAAAAATCATAAAGTGTAGATGAAGCATGTGATGTTGAGTTGGAATTAAAGATACTAGTGTCAGTTCATGGTTAATGGATAGATAGACATAGATAGATACAAATGCTGTTTTGTCTATGTACCAAGTACATATGCTTGTGTAAGTCCTAATTCTGTCCAAAGAGAGAGCTTAAAGGGAATGCCACAGAAAGAAATTAGTAAACCCAGAACACATATCTTGTTTTAAATAAGGATTCCTCATAAATAATGAATAAATATAAATAATAAAGGACTGATTCATGGACTGGACCAAGAAAAGTACAAGCTGATCCTGGAATATCTTATAGAAGAAAATAAGGAAATGCTCAAATAATGGCTTTTCAAAAAATATCTGTTTACTAACAGCTAGGGCTAATATTGTCCTAACCTGGAATAGCATTAGCACCAAAATTAACAATGATATAAATGTACTGTGTCCTATTGAATAATATAACTATCCATGTCTATACTGATATAAATAATAAATGAATAAAAGGTAAATGCAGGAGACAGGCAAGTTTCCTTACAATATAATGTTAACAATAGATGTAGACAAATGGTGGAACTGGGAATTCACCATACAGTAATAGCAGCTTCAGTCAAAAATCATCAATGAAAGTTAAACGTAGTGTGTGAAAGCTTAAGGTAATAGAATATTCACACAGTTTCAAAAAACTCCACAAATGGAAATATTAGAACTGTGATACCATTTTTTTTTGCCACAGTGTTTTGGCTTCCATGCCTGCAAAACTCTCATGGGCTTTTTTAGCCAGATCCAAATGCGTTAAGGGCTGATTCTGAGGCCAGAGTGCTATTTAGGACATCTGTCATTCTATCAGTTTGCTGCGTATCCTGCTTCCCATGTAGGATCATTCCATCCTTTTTAATTCTATCAATTATTATTTGCAGACACTGGTCTTATTTATGTAATTCCTTTGACACTTAATCCTATCTTTTTGATTAATTATGAACTTAAACTGATCACTTTAACAAGTAAGATGGCATTGGTATATGCCACCTTGATGGGATTGAATTGGAATCCCCTGGAACATTTCTAGCTCTACCATTAGGGGTAAGTCCGAGTGAGTATGTGCCGAATTGTACATCTCCTCACTTTCTTATTCCAACTCTTTTATTTAACAGGGATCACTTTTCAGTTAATTTTAAACACCTAAGAATAATTGTGTGTTAATTACAGAGTTCAACCAATAGTACTAAGTAGAACAAAAAAATACCAAAAGGAATAAAATAGTAAGTTGTTCCTCGACAGTCAGGACAAGGGCTGATCAAGACATTGTTTCTCATAGTGTCCATTTCACTTCAACAGGTTTCCTTTTAGGTGCACAGTTGCCATCAATCAGGGAGAACATATGATACTTGTCCCTTTGGGGCTAGCTTATTTCACTCAGCATGATGTTTTCCAGATTCCTCCATTTTGTTTCAAATGACTGGATTTTTTTTTTTTTTTACTGCTGTTAGTATTCTATGGAGTACATATCCCATAATTTCTTTATCCAGTCTTCTGTTGATGGGCATTTAGGTTGATCCCATGTCTCAGCTATTGTGAATTGAGCTGCAATAAACATTGAGGTGCAGACAGTTCTTTTATTTTCCAATTTAATTTCCTTTGGGTAAATTGCGAGGAGTGGGATGGCTGGGTTGTATGGTAGGGCTATATTCAGGTTTCTGAGCAATCTCCAAACTGATTTCCATGGTGGCTTTACCACTATGGCAAAAAAAAAAAAAAAAAAAAAAAAAAAAAAAAAAAAAAAAATGACGTAAATGAAAGATCTCTGTGAGATCCCAGCTGAAAGAACAGGCCATCAAAGAAGGAGATACCTTTCTCTGTAGGGAGGAGAGAACTTCCACTTTGAATGTGGCCTTGTTTAAATAAGATCAGAGTCGGTGAACAGCCTTGGCAGCTCATGACAAGAGCCTCGGGTGATTACTGACGTCATAAATAAGGGTTTCAATTGTTAAATCAACAACAGGAGACATTGTGCACCTGCTCCCCATGTAGGACCTCTGTTCTTAATGTGTTGTACTTTGCAAATTAATGGTAAAACTACTACTCAAACAGTACTCTGTAATTTGTCTGTGTGGGTGCAGTCTGTTGAAATCTTTACTTAGTATAAACTAAGTTGATCATCTGTATATAAAGATAATTGAAAATGAATCTTGATGAAGAATGGGATGGGAGAGGGAGTGGGAGATGGGATGGTTGTGGGTGGGAGGGAAGTTATGGGGGGAAAAGCCGCTATAATTCAAAAGTTGTACTTTGAAAATTTATATTTATTAAATAAAAGTTGAAAAAAATATATGATGTAAGAACAATGGGGAAAATGGGAATGGGTTGATAGTATTATGTGGTAAGATTAAAAGATCTTTATTTGCATAAACTTTTTAAAGTAATCTCATACTTTGGTGGATGTATATATACATATATAATCAAATATTAACAATTGAGGAACACAAATTCTTTTCACTATTCTTATAACATATCCTTAGCTTAAAACACTTCAAAATAGGTAGTAAATAATCATATAGTACTCATTTAAAAATGCATTGAAATAAAATTATCATAATTTAATTGACTAATAAAATTTGAAAATTTCAGATGAATAGATAAAATTAAAAAGTCAAAGGTGCTATGTATATTTTAATGTTTATGTTTCAGAAATTATGCTGTTCTAAAGGTAAAATTATATTTCATCTTACATGGCCTCTTATGTTTTTGCACCAGTGTTTAATTCAAAGAAAGAAATTTACAAAATATACACATTTTAATGTATGGCTAATATAATTTCTAAGTATTAATATCTGAAATATTCATATTAAAGGCAATTATTTCCATGTGTTTATTTTTTCAAATTGATACATATGTTATAATTTAGAAGCAGAAAATATCTAGTTTTTCTCTCAAATAAGTCACAAGATATGTCAATCTGCTTACTCTCTCTTTTTCTCTTGGCTAGGTTTCATATGTCAAAGCTATTGATATTTGGATGGCAGTATGCCTCCTTTTTGTGTTTTCAGCCCTTCTGGAGTATGCAGCTGTAAATTTTGTATCAAGGCAGCACAAGGAACTTCTGAGATTTCGAAGAAAGAGAAAGAATAAGGTAAATGATTCAGTGTATTGGGTTTGGTGGGATATCCATTTTCACTGGCAAGTGCATTTTTTGTATTTAATAGAGATGTACAAAGAGGATATTGTGACTTGGGGCTAAATGACCAATTAGTTTTCTGTTGATCTTAGGCAAAAGACTGTGAAGCAATTGATCAATTAGTTTTACAAAGTGTCAAAATAGCTTCAGCAAGAAAATGGTGATACTACACTTTAAAGAGCTATATCTAAAGCAATACCTTAAAGAGCATATCTGGTGGCAAGAGAGCTTTATCTTTTTTTTTTTTTGTAATGTACTTTCTGGACTAACAGTGTCTTGCTTCAGTTAATGAAATAAGGAATTTCTTACTTGTAATATTAGAGTGTTTCTAACAGCTTTACTTTCATAACTCATCAGATATAATTATTAAAATTGTTCCTTCTTATGAGATAATTCCTTTAATTTTCCATCAAATGTTATTTATCAATGGCAGGGTAGTACGTTTGTGCAATAATATATGATCTATTTTACACACAATATCATGTTCATGACTTTTCTGTGGAAACCTCATGGGAAACAAATAACAAGACATTGTTGTCTTTCTATAATCTGTTAAAAAATGAACTGATAAGAAAATTCTTATTTTGAACATCATAAAGGGAGCGTGGATGGGAAGGTCCCCTGTTTTTAAGACCTGGAATGGAACTTCCCTTTACATGTATATGGTTTGGACCCACCCCATCCCTTTCTGATGGCAGGGTTTCTACTGACAACTTCAATTCTTCTCATCTGAGTATACTGAGATTTTGAAAGCAAATGGAATTCTGAAGCAATAAAGTAATATCACAGTTATATTGAATCATGACCAAGATACAATATACTGAAAAAGTCAAGTCAAACACAAATTTTAAACATAATGATATAGTTCATATATTGTGAAAAGTTAAGAATTTTTTGAAATTTGCAATTGTTATTCCTTATGATTTGTAAATTATGTACTAAAATTCATTTTTTAAAGTTTTAAGACACTAAGCTTTTATTTCTCCGTGCTCCTGTCAACTCAGTATTAAAACTATTCTAAAGTAACAATTTGTTCAGTCATTTTCAACTGGCACTCAAAAAATTATCACTACTCTAATAATTAGCAACATTGAAAGAACCTCAACACTGGGAAACTGAGTTACTACATTGGACAGAAAACAATGCTAGAGCTTACATTTCATAAATCTTTATGAAAATATATGCGCATAATTTTGTATTAAAATGTATTTTAATGGAGATATTACCTTTTCTTTATCTTCTTGCCCCACTTCTGCCTATTCTTCTGCTCTAATTATATTTTCTCAATCTTCTTCACTCTCCCTTTACCTTTCCTCTCCCTCTTTCTCCTCTGCCACTCATTCCCCTGCTTGCTTTCTGTTTTCTCTTAAGATTCTTGTCATTGGCTAAAATATTGTAATAGGACAAATGCTGTATCATAGGAGTAAAGCTTTTATCTTTCTTTGCTATTAGTGATTGATGAAAACAATTTCCTCTTCTAATGTCACTAATCACAAGCAATGCAATATTCATTTCCCTATTACCACGATTTTCTTTTTCTTTTTGTATTTTCCATCTTTTTTACCTTCTTCCCTCTTCTTGTTACAATGAATCAGCCATGTTCTGCAAATACCTGAAATGAAAAGTGTTATGTACATGGTGTCTAAATGGGAAAGTCTGAGAGCTCAGATATTCTACATCCACTATTTGATAGTCAGAGTATCCACTGGATAAAATAATAGACTTCAATATTAGACATTGAATTCTTGTTCCTAATTTTAAAAATTTTAAAACTATGTATCTAAGGATAAAGTGTCTCTCTACTCTGTTTTACCACTTGAAGAATAAGTTAAAATATCTTATACCCCTTACTTTTTTAACTTTAGAAAGACACAAAAATTGATGTTCCAGTGATTGCATTCTGGGAAAATGTAGGAATACAAAAGGTAATATCGTATCATTTTCTCACCACTACTTGAAATATTCAGGAAGCCAATGTCATGAAATATAATCAAAATTCATTACAGAAAGATGTCAGCTACTTTTAAGCTCAACTCATGCTTTGCAGTAGATACTTTGCATAAGTGAAATATCTCTCTTGATACATACGTATGTTAAATAGTAAATGTGATTAAAATCAATTGTGTAATTATATTTAATTATATTTGGCTTGATTCTCTGGTTTCTCAATCCCTCTTGGTCCACTTTACCTTCCAACAGACAGAAGCTTTTGCACTGGAGAAGTTTTACCGTTTCTCAGACACGGTAAATTGACTTTCTTAACTCTAAGTACAGAAATGTGGTCATCAATGAAAAGCAGTTAGCACATTCTGCACCAGGACAGTGTTTGGTGGGGAAACATAGCACCTCTCACACTGAAACTCAAACAAACACCATCCTCCTTCAGATAAGAATGATGATCTCTTTATCTAAGAACCCCAATCTTCCTTTACTAAATAAGAGGATATTCATAAATTACCTTTCAATTTATTAAAAGAATTCTTTTATTGTCCAAAATAATTTTAACTATATGTTGGAGGAGAAATAGTATGTATATTTTGTAGTAATCTCCATGAAAGGAACAATCTTCAACTTGTGCAAAATCAGTTTCAAAGTAAGTAGAAAGGTTATTCATGAAAACAGATTCTAAAATTAGCTGTATAAAAGAAATCAAAAGGTCCAGAAACTGCTTTGTGCAGTCAATGGAACTTTAGAAACAATTCTTACTGTTAAAATATACTAAAATTACAGCAAATGAAAACTGAGGTTTTAAAATTTTCTATTTATTTTATTTTTTGAGAGGCACAGTGATGGGAGAAGGGGAGAGAAAAAGAGGGAGAAAGAGAGAGAGAGAGGAGAAGGACGGGGGGAGAGAGAGAGAGAAAGAGCACTTCCAATCACTGATTTACTCCATTCAGGTCTCCCACATGGGCAGCAGGGACTCAACTACTGGAACCATCACCCGCTGCCTCTTTTGTGGAAACAATAGGGGGAACCTGAAATTGGGAGTGGAGCCAGGTCTCAAACCCAGGTACTCCAATGTGAGAAGTGAATGTTGCAAATGGTGTCTTAACCACCAGAACAAATGTCTGACCAACAATTCCATCTTGATAGAAACATTCTTTGAGATTACTGAATAACAAGAGATCACAAGTATTCATGTCCAATAATAATAGCTAAGTATTTAGAAAGGCTAAAGTAGAGAGTATTGGTCATTGGTGATTTGACTTGTGTGCCCATATCATAATTAAATATAAATCTACCAAAGCCAAGGAATTAGCCTGTAAAATCATTTATCGATAGGCCAGTCAACTAATCTATAATTTCTGGGGCACAATGTCTTTTAAAGAGGCTCCCCATGTGATACCACAAAGGGCCATCAAAAACTTCATTAAAAATGTGTATTTTGAGGGGCTAACGTCATGGCTCTCTTGGTTAATCCTCTGCCTTGTGGCACCAGCATTCCATATGGGTACCAGGTTCTAGTCCTGGTTGCTCCTCTTCCATTCCAGCTCTCTGCTGTGGCCCGGGAAAGCAGTGGAAGATGGCCCAAATGCTTGGGCCCATGAACCTGCATAGGAGACCATGAGGAAGCATCTGGCTCCTGGCTTCGGAATGGCGCAGCTCCGGCCATAGTGGCTATTAGGGGAGTGAACCAATGGAAGGAAGACCATTCTCTCTGTCTCTCTTTCTCACTGTCTATAATTCTAACTGTCAAATAAATAAATTAAAAAATTTTAAAAATTTTAAAAATGTGTATTTTGAAAAATATGCATAAATTTTAAAATGTTTTGCATTAAAATAAATTTATCTTTTTATTTCATTTCTGTGAACTTCTTGAAATGCTCTCAGACTATATACTCAAGATAAGAATTCCTACAAGAGACATAATGTTAAATGAAGCTTACCTTTTTAAAAGATTATTGAGGCCGGTGCCACAGCTCACTAGGCTAATCCTCCGCCTTGCGGCGCCGACACACCGGGTTCTAGTCCTGGTCAGGGTGCCGGATTCTGTCCCGGTTGCCCCTCTTCCAGGCCAGCTCTCTGCTGTGACCAGGAAGTGCAGTGAAGGATGGCCCAAGTACCTGGGCCCTGAACCCCATGGGAGACCAGGAGAAGCACCTGGCTCCTGGCTTCAGATCAGCGCGATGCACCAGCCGCAGTGCCAGCCGCGGCGGCCATTGGAGGGTGAACCAACGGCAAAGGAAGACCTTTCTCTCTGTCTCTCTCTCTCTCTCTCTCACAGTCCACTCTGCCTGTCAAAAGAAAAAAAAAAAGATTATTGAGACCCATTAATATTTTAAAGTCCTTAGTAGATTCTCTTATAATCAAAAATCACTCAACTATTTTGTTTTGCTATTAAAATTATATATTGCTTCACAGCATATGATTTATCCTTTTTGTTTCCTATCCCAGAAAAATAATTTCACGTAATCTCTTTGCTTTTACTAGATTATCTTAATTAAATTTTTATTGCATGCAATTTAGTAATTATATGTAGTGTTTGCTATATATATATATAGACATACACACATACAAAATCTCCTTTTGGAATGAAAACCATTTTATCTCTAGTAACTAAATAGTTAATGTTTTAGAAACTATAGAAATAAAGATATTTATTTTATCAATTATTGCTTTATAAAGGACTCTGATGAAAAATGATGCTTACTTCATGGACATACTCAATAAATTCTGTCTTTTTTAAAGCAATACAGTAATACATACCTGCTTACATTCATTAGAAAGTGTATTCATCTCCTTTATTTTTTAAATATGGTACACATTGGGCAAAGCTGTTGATAATTTCATGTTTTGAAAACAATTTCTTTTAAACTAAAAGCTTCTAGGTTGGACAAATTCATTTTTTAAATTATGTATTTCTCTGTGAAACAATCTAAGGAATCTAAATCTTTAAGTCAACATAACCAAAATTAGTCCACATACTGACCTCTGTCCTTTATTATCATGAGTGCCAATTTACTGGAATTTTACTCAGCACTCTAATTTGATAGAATAGACAGTATAAATAAAATAACCTCAGTATAGGAAGTTTGCAACAAGGGGGTATTACTAGGGAAGATTAACTTGGTTCAGCATGGACTTAAGCACTGTATATAATCTTTTATACTTCACTTTTTATTCTGTTAAGGTATCTTAGTATCCTTTTGTCTATTGTGAAAGAACACAAGTTTGCTCTTATACCCGAATTTCCCCACCCCACACTGTCATAGCCTGCTGGGTGCTGATCACCACTGCTCCATGCCATGGATGCTATCTCCAGTGCTGTGTATGTGTGGGTGGATGCATGAAATGAGAGTCTTTTGGAGAGAAGCTGCTATTCCCATGTATGATATCATTAGTTTAGTCCTAGAGGCTTATAGAGACATGCCAAAGTGTTTCTAAATGTATGCGATGTGGATTAAAGACATATGGATTAAATGGGATTGCTTTAGTGCATTTCATATAGCTTCTTCCACACTACAAATGATGATCTAATATATTGCTAAGAGGAAACACATTCACAGTTTTCCGGTATTTCTTTCCATCTGCTACCATGTATTAATTATTATCTATATATGCAAATGAAATAGAAATCGACTTTTAGTTGTATATTTGAGAAATGATGACCAATTACATGTTTTTGAGGTAAAAATACATTATTGACTGCATTTTGACTATGTATACAATATTATTATTTTAAAAACTTGTGTATTTATATGCTGTTTTAGTTTAAAATTAACTCATGATAACTTCAGGATAGAAATAATTGATTTTCTGCCCTGCACATTCTGTCAGCTCCATAGTCTTAGGACAAATACAGATATATAAGTACACTATTTGGGGAAGGGACAAGACCCTATAATTGAAAGCAGAATGGTACCTATATACACTAAATAATGTGATAATAATTCCATTCCAGGTCAGTTTACACTTTATTCTAGATTAAAGATATTCATTCAATAGATAAAATATTTCCTGAAAATGTCTTTGTTACCAGAGGAAAAGTAATTTCTCAAGAAGTTAAATTCAATTTGAAGGACCCACATTAGTGTATGAAATTAGGTCTTCTCAAGTATAACAACATTTATAAGATTTTATTAATTTTCTTGAAAAAATATTTAGAATTTTACATTAAACACAATTATTTCTTATAGCTATATACCAGCAGAAATACATGTTATCAGTTATTAACTTCCAAGCCATTTCTGAATTTAAGTTCAATTTGTCAAGCATAAAGTTAACAACTAACTCATAGCTAATTTATATGTCATCTACTATAAATGCATGATTCTCCTGGAGCTAGATTGCAAACACTTCTATATTAACAATTACCAGGATGAAACCAAGAGCTGAGAACTCAATCCAGATCTCCACAGTGGTGGGGACAATTATTTGAGTCATTACCTGCTACCTCCAAGGACAGGCGTTAGAGTGAGGTCGGACTCAAGAGTGGAGCCATGATTCAATCCTAGGCATTCTGATTTGAGATCCAGGCATCTCAGGCAGCATCTTAGCCAATAGGTTGAAGGTCTGTCCCTTTCCGTTTTTAAACAGGACAGTGATTGGTATAGAAATATAAAGCCAAATATTTTAACTTAGACTATTTCAGAAAAACAAATTTTAATTCACCAACTATTTTCTAAGATAATTTCTCCCAATAAAATAAACCATTGTTATGTTTATTAAAAGCTTTAAAAATTCATATGATTTAAATTCATGCAAATGAAAACTGACAGTTTAGTTTTCCTTCCTTAGTTACTTTCCCACTTGACAATCAAAGTATAAAGTTAAAGGAAATTATTTAAACAAGAAGAACTTTGGAGTAATCTACATAACACCTGATTTATACAAAAAAAGCCCTAATGGGACTTTATTAAGGCAGAAATGTTAGGATGAATATATTGTAGTTGTTGTTGTTGTATCTTACAGCAACTCAAATAATCAACATCTCATGCTGTTATACATGCTTACCATTTTGTTACCATTCAATGGCAATCCTCAAGCCTTTAGCACCCTTACATTCAAGTTCTGGGTTGTTTTTTGTTTTATTTTTTTTTTTTTTGTATTTTTAAAGACCAAAACCAAGATAGGAATTTAATTATCATCTCACATGTATGCTAATACATTGTTTTGATGATAGTGATGAAGTAAGTCTATTGAGTGGCTATATATCACTTTATTTTCTATCTCTAGCATTTCTAGTTATATCAATTGGTCTTTGGCATAAGTTTATTATTAAAATGAAAAAGCACCTAGAAAGT